AACGCAGCTCGAATACGCTGGCAATTCCAGTGTTTGTAAACAAACCAACTACTATGACGATTTCATTCGCCCACGACAGTTGTCTCCGCAGATAATCACAGCTTCCAGCTAGCAGGTAGATATTGCCAGCAAAATCGAGCTGACGTCCGGACACAAATTCGGTATCATCAAACCTCTTTAGTCATTTGAGAATCCCGTCAATAGCGTAGCTGAACAGGATAGGCAACAGAATGCAATATTTTTGCATCCCAGCGCGAAGATTGAAAGACTAAAAAGGTTCATTGTGAATCAGAACTCAAGCAGTACTGAAGCTTTAGTAAGTCCTGACCGCAACGATTATTGTTGCAGACCTACCGCTTAGCTTCATGATCTGTCACCAAAACTTACAATGGACGGAATTGAACACAGTGATAAACGGCGAAGTAGCAGTTGATTCCTGGGCTCTTGCTCTCCCTAGGGGGCGCAGTCGAGGATTAGAACCACAGATGGACAGCTTGACGTCCACGCTGTACTGCTGAAGGCTGCGCGCCTTTCGACTTTGGGCACGGTGATGAAAAAAATGTTTGCCCACCTTGGTATTCAATACCAAGTGTCCGTTCCAAATTGCGTAGTCCGACCCAAAGACTATTCGCTGGATAAGGGTTAAAGAGTGCATCGGTTCCCACGGTTACCATAAAATGGCTCTTAGTCCTGTGTTCAGTTATTTTCATGAGTTTTGCTGAAAATCATGAGTACAGACGAGTACTCAGTAACTGATAGGTTTACTTCGTAGTTTTCTCCCTTAACCCTGGTTCGAAAACCTGACAACAAAGCAGTGGTGGCGGAGAAGCGTATTTGATGACGGTTTACGGTTGCCATGTTACAATGGCGCCATGGGGCTTTACGTTGTTTTTTGTAAAGCCGTTTTGGCTGGGCGAACGTCAACTCTCCATGCCCCGGTAGCCACGCTACTGCTGATCCATGACTGCTTATTTGCCAGACCAGTGATCTCGATTATTTCTTTACTAACCCTCGCTACAGACCGGTTCACAATCAGGCACTCGTGGACACGTCTTTCTAACAGCAAGCCCATCGCTATTTATATTTATATCGTAAACCGACACGCTTCTAGGAGGATCCTGTGTTTAGTTAGTAAAAACAATGTCTACTCAGTTTCATCTCTCCACCGGCGCTCAGTGTCGAGAAGGTTTACATAATTTTACCCAAACTGTCTGTTAGGCCTGATGGATTTACTGCGTCACGAGTTCTTCATTTTTGCAGATTTTTGGATTGGTCAGGTATTGTTGACTATTCGCTGGCAGTCCGGTTTTACCACTAGGGTACTCCTGATCTTTGACCAAAACAGCACTTTTTAGAAGGTATGCCGCCAGATCTCCTCGTTTTTCCCCAATCAAAACAATCATCCAGGGCGCATAGCTACAAAGTAAATTGCTGTTCTCCCTCCCTCCCTCTTACTACGAAGCGTGTCAGCTAAGGATGACTATCCGAATTACTTGAGCAGTATTAATCTCTCCTTTCGTTCCCCTTTCCAGACCGACGAGACGCGCAGTGTAGTGCATTTCCACTATATGCGGTGGCCGGACTTTGGCGTTCCTGTTTCTCCGAGTAGTATGCTCAACTTCCTCTGGAGTGTTCGCCGCACTGGCGTTCTCGACGACCCCGAATTCCCCTGTGTCATCCACTGCAGTGCTGGTGTTGGAAGATCAGGAACCTTCGTGCTTATCGATTTGGCTCTTGCTCTAGTAAGTCAGTTTATTTTGTTATTAAAAAACTGGTGAATACCCTGTGAGCATCCCTGCGAAAGAGGATTCGGAAGCTCAAATCACCCATTTTTTTACGTCACTGTTATCTTAGAAGCAATTATATGTTCTTGTATCTGGACGGTTCCGCAACAGTCTTTTATACAATTCTGGGAAAACCAAATCGTTAACCGAGGTGCTGCTGTACTTGACCAAGAGGGGCACACTCACGGAGGAGTTTTCACACAACAGTTCCCATTTCGAAAACGAGATCCCCGTTTAAAACGATGTTGTCCACTTTTGGTTGTACAGAAAATTTCGTCCAGACCTTCTAGCCACTGTTACTTTATTCAAGTCGCCCTCCTCAAACATCCCAACTTACCCGACAATCTTCACCAGTGTTAGCTAATAAGATCGCCCCCCGTACCTTTTGGTAACATTGCTCTAAAAATTCCAGCTTCGACTTCGTTGTTAAAAATTGCAGTTTCGACATCCCGCGGGATGTCATCCACCATAGATGAAATGCCTCCGTGCCAAACCCATCGATCTGGGACACCTGCGATGCTAACCCCCTTATGCTAGATTGAGAATAGGCAACCCGGTAACACACGTCAGCAAACACCAATCCGGGTTCACGTGACGATTTCAACGAGACTGACTATAGCTCACAATGACGTGATGGGGTTGAAGTCCACCCTTTGCATTCCATTAGTGCAGTATCCAATGAATTTGAGAGTTATACGCACATAACCAACTATTGAATAATCAGAATAAAAGCATGCATTACGGGCTGCACCCTCTCTGCCTAGCCGCGACTCTAGTGCGCAGTATCTCGCGGTCGTTCGA